TTCGCTTTTGGTGTCTTGAGTGCCATAAAAACTTATGGATATACAACAGCCTTTGATTTTCCCGTTGCGAGGCAAATGAAACCAGGCAAATCAAAGCGGCGGCAATAATAAAAATTGCCTAGTCGTCTCCCCTTAGCCTCATGCCTACAGTTGGCCGCAGTCAGATTCGGTAGCGTGCAGAAATGATTGGGTGTGGGTTATGAGTGAGAGAGAGATCGAGAGGCGCACAAACCTTTGCCCATGTGGCCCCTAGGCTACTGAATTCATGCCTGGTGATTTAAACGCGTAGAAACATTTCCATCTGAATTCAGCGTGCCAAATTTTATTCAGCCTTTCCTGGGTTGCAGATTTTAATTCATATCTACACTACTTCTCAAACTCTAAATATAAACAATAAAATTTATGTTTAGTTCATTTATTTATGTCAAAATAAGAAATTTATGGTTAAATTAAGTCAACTAACTTATTATTCTTAATATTATGTACAAAGCTTTTTGTTCAACATTATTTCCATTATTTACATTTATAAATTTGAGAATGTATTGTTATAAAATATATTATATTGATATTTTTATTTTAAAAATTTTAATCGCTCATGTCTTTAGTCTCGCATGACAAACTTACAATTTATTTAATTTTACTGAATAAATATTAATTTATATATTTTATCGTTAATGCTAATGATAATAAAGGAATTAAATTTAAAATTATACCCAATCCCATCCATCCTGCGTTAAATTCAGTGCGTAAAGTGAATAATTCAATTGTTAGATCAGAGAACGACAGTAATAGAATTTTCATGGAATTTCGCAAAATCATTGCCGAAAAAAGGTCGGAAGAAAAACTAGCCTCCATCGGACTGAATCAAAATTTTAATTACACACGCGGCAGATTTAGAGTGTTGCAACAAGGAGCTCCCGCTACTTTTTTCGCCGCTTGTATAACGTTTCAAGTGTCAATCAACAACAAAGCGGGCGCACTCCCAAGTATAATTAAGATGCAAATTAACTGCCCGATGATCAATAGTCAGCGCGGAGAAAATTGAGATGTGCGCTCACATTTTTTTCTCCTTTACTTAATGACAGCCGTGAACTTTTGAGTGACACGTGAAATAATAACTCATTAATAATAATGCTGCGAGAGAGATGATGTAATTAAATTCTCACGTCCAACTCGTCCAAACTGTGGTTAAAATAAATATATCGGCACCATGTTTTCTCTTTTGGGCCCGGAGAAAATCACACCGATAGAGAGATGATTGCGGCGAGATCAGAATATTTAATAGGGCAATCAACAGGTGCCAAAATGGCAACTGACATATAAAGTGGATTTCTAGCCTCTAGAATTTAGAATAAATGAACGCATTAAAAAAACTGTAAAACGGGCACATCGGATAATTTGAGGGTTTCGTTAGAGTGAAATAATTTATTGAAAAAACAAAACACTAGGAGTTTTATTTTATTAGGGAAAAAGGAGAGGAATTTACCGAGAGGCGACGCTTTTAGCCACAAGCAAAATGATGAAGGAAAGCACCGAAATTACATTATTGTGGGTGAATTAAATTCAAGAGCGTTTTATTGGAGAGCCTCTGAAGGCTGGCCAGCAGCAGTGGCACGAAGGTTTATATGGCTGTGGGAGTGCGTTGGTCACGCGATCGCGGCCTCACAATCGGCGGCACACGCTTTCGAGAGCTGAGGCGAGTGCGTGATAGACCGGTCGGTCCTTCCTTCACGTGTATCCAACCACCGAAGAAGCTCTTTTTCTACTGCTTATTATTATTTCTCCGGCCATTATCATATAAACTTCTGCTTTGATTGTGAAAAGGATCCCGCGGAGGAAAATATTTTCTTTGATGAGAGACGTAGTAAAAAAATATAATAACAATAATGAATAGATAAAGGGAGACTTTAAGAGGTCAGTGTTAAAAGTTTTTTTAACTAGTATAATTCTGAGAAGATTAAAATCTAATCTTATTTTTTCACTGTAAAATTTTTATTTTTATATATATATTTTTTTAAGAGGTAATGGAAGTTTAATTTCAAGTATAATTGTGATTGAAATATTTTTAGAAAAATATATATTAAAGGGAAGGATATTTAAATTTAAAATTATTCATAACCAATCATAAAATATAGTTCAAATAATGCAAACATAAGTAGAATTATTGCTGAAATCTATATTATATTACTAACAATGCGTTTCAACTTTCATTTTGTGCATGTTAAATGTAATTAATTCAACGATTTCCCAATGCCGTAGATTCATTTAACCGTATCTTTTCATTTTTCACTGCCCTCCTTGTTAAAAAAGCATTCACGGCTTGCTTTCAAGAAAGGTTTTGAAACTCATAACACGCAGATTTTTGCCTCAGGTCCGGATGTTTATGTATTTTCCTGTAGATGCGCCGAAAGGCACATCTTGGGTAAAACTTCATTAATAATCCGCTTTCCTTTCCACGCATCTTTTCGCCTCGACAATAAATTTCACGATCGAGAAGGAATTCCCTTTTTTCGCCGAATTTAAAACTTCAAACTGGCTCAATTGTAAAATTCTTGAGGCGCTGGCGGCGAATTTGCAAAAATTTGCGAGGCCAATAAACTTTTACTGCCAGCGAGCGGCTTAATCTGCTGAGCTGCGCGGATTCTAAGAAAAGCAAACAATAGAAAGCCACCCCCTTTGCTTTCTTTGTCTCAGCTGCGCAAATTTTACGCCGCCAACATTCTGAAGGCTGACATGCAGACTTCAGATCGCGTCGAAATTCACTGGGTCGTGTTTTGCGCCCCGGCATTCGCTGCTGCGCGCTCTCGACCAGTGGGAAAAAAGCGCTCAAAATTCGGCTGCAGGAATCCGCCTGCAATGTCAGCTTTCAACAGCCGCCGCTTTTTGTGTCAAAAAGTGATTTAAAATTAACTCTTTGAGCAAGAGCGGTTCGCATTGCGGCAGTTCGCCTTGGTCTGGTTAGAGAATCCAACAAGAGAATAAAAAAAATCATTGTTCTTGAATTTCCTCCAAATTGAATTAATCAGTTGCAAATTGTTTAATTAATTATTTTAAATTAATTTATTATTACATTTCAAATTCTTAATGAAATTTAAAAATTAAATAATGTACAAGAATATTAAATTTCTTTTTAAAAAAGAAAGACAAGCTGGACTGTTAATTTCAAGATCAATTGCATATATGGCATAATTATATTCTCTAGACTATTATTTTATATAAACAGCAAACAAAATTTCATAAAAAAATTGAAAATACATTCCGAATGGTATAGCACCTTGATAATTGAAATTACCACAAAAATCAATAATGTACTACATTTTTTTTTTAAATATTGTATTTCAAGCTTTAAAAAAATATTATAATATTGAAAAAATTAATTATTTTAAGGAAATAAATAAAATGTTATAAGACTTATAAGGTTCATAAAAAGTTATTATTCTTATTATAACTTATTTATTGAGAAAGTACTTAATTTTTATTTTAAATATGTCTCGCACTTTACTGCAGGTCACCAATTTCCAATTTAAAGCGACCCAAAAAGACGCAGAATTTTTTACCCTGACGGTCAGGCGTATGTCTTTAGTCGTTATAGTAAAATATGAATTTTGCCTGTATTAGGAAGTGGTCGCATTTTCTAAATATGGGCGCATCATCAACTCGGCGCGCCGCTTTCATCCCGTTAATTCATCATCCTCCTGCACAAAAAGAATTTTTATTTACCAAAGCCTCGTTCTCGTATATGCATAAAAAATTCACCTACGTGACGGGAAAATTAATTCTTGATAAAGTATAAAAACTAATTACGCGCGCTCACATGGAGAGTAAAAATTTCTTCCTCTCGCTAGCTGCTGCCCACATCTCTTTCTTTTTCGCTCCAGCAGCAGCGGCATTTTTGTTTTTTGCCCCTTAATGATTACTTGGAAAGGATAAAGCTGCGCCTCCCGACAACCAAATTACCATATTTTCTCTGTGGAAACGCTGAAATCGCGTGCCACCGTTGAACGTCTCTAATATTTTTTGTTTAATATTTTTATTATAATTATGTCTGCGCGGTGGCGGCGGCAGCATCATCATCATGCACAACAACCCGCGGCTCTCCGCAGCGCAGGTGAACGCATCATGCACCCAAGCCATCCACCGCAGTGTAATAATCACTGACTGCGCAGCTCGTGCGGACCGAGATGCTGCTCCTCTGGAGTTTCAACGTCGCCAGCAGACTTGCGAATATAAAGCCAAGTTCTCTTCTTGTAATTACCGCCTGCTGGAGGAACTCGATGAGCCATGAATCAGCCGCGAGCGACTTTGCCTCTGAAATGATTTCAGCTTCCCAAAATGATTATCATATGCGTATTTAAAAAAAGACCACAAAAATTATTTTTCATTCTAGAAATCACATTTTAATTAAGAATTCAATTTTTTAATTTATATCTGTTATACAAAATTTTGATTATCCTTCAGTTAAAAAAAAATCAATATTTGTTTGGCTTTAAAAATTTAAGAATTACTTCTTGTACTTCAAGCATTACCAAGAATTGCTTTATGATTAGAATTACTGCCAAAATTGCCAAATGGGCAGTAACGAATATTATCTGCCTATTTAAAAATGTGAATTATTTTAGCATTGCCATTATAATTGCCTGCGCTAAATTTTATAGATTTTATTGTCCTACGTAATGTTCATAAAAGCTAAAAAAATGTTTGGAAGAGATTAAAATACATACTTGGGGTATTTTTTATTTATTTATTACATTTTCCAACAAAACAATTTTGTAATTGTTCAATTGAGTCCCATCTTGAAGCGACAATGCAGTGTGCGTTCAGTATAAGTATGACAAATGGATAATAAAGCAATCACGTCATAACAATTATTGCTGTTAATTGTAGGCGTAAGAAATAATGGGCACCAGTTTTCTGAATTGCTTGTAAAGATACCACATAATTTTCAAGAAATACTGATTAAATTTGGCACCAATTGGTATAAAAAACGGAGAAGAGTGATTCGGATGTTCAATTGCAAGTTGAGTGAGGACAAAACCAGAGCATAGATCCACCATGGCAGAAAGTGAGTAGAAACTTTTTTATTTATAATATTAATCCCCAATGCAACGGAATAAGCCATTTCATTAACGTTTAAGTTTAAAATTATAATTTCTTTAATGTTAACTCAACTTATCAGTGAGAAATTAAAACATAATTTCCATAGAAATTAATGATATTTAATTCCAAACACTAAGCAGCATTATTGAAAGACGAAATTTTAACATCTTATTTTCAAATTTTCAGATCGTTTTCTTGGGTGGTTATTAATCACTACTTTGGGATGGTCCTCAACACAGATGGCAGCCAACGCTCTAACTCAAAGCTCATACAAACCAATTGCATTTGATTGCAGCAACGTTATCTGCCCAAACACTACATGTGGTATTGGCACCGTCAACATTCCAAACCCTGGTGAATGTTGCAGTTTTTGCAGATGTGGTCCAAACGGCCCTGTCAGGATTCCGTGTCCTTCAGGGCTCCACTACAATTACGAAACAGAACTCTGCGACTGGCCTCACAACTGTAGTTGTGAAGAAAATTTAACAACTGGAAAACCTTTAGACCCAATAATAACAAACACAACCCCTGCAGCCCCTACAACAGCCCAAACCTTCACCACACCTCAAATAACGTCGACAATCGTGGAATCAACTACAAGGCCAACAACAAGGCCTCCAAACACGCCTCAACCAGCCACTAGTCCACCTACTACGACCCTACCAACAACCACGGCCCAGCCAGTAACCAGGCCACCAACCACGACCCAGGAAACAACTAGGCCACCAACCACGACCCAGGAAACAACTAGGCCACCAACCACGACCCAGGCTACAACCAGGCCACCAACCACGACCCAGGAAACAACTAGGCCACCAACCACGACCCAGGCAACAACTAAGCCACCAACCACGACTCAACCAACTACTATGCCACCAACCACGACCCAGGCAACAACTAGGCCACCAACCACGACCCAGGAAACAACTAGGCCACCAACCACGACCCAGGAAACAACCAGGCCACCAACCACGACCCAGGAAACAACTAGGCCACCAACCACGACCCAGGCAACAACTAAGCCACCAACCACGACTCAACCAACTACTATGCCACCAACCACGACCCAGGCAACAACTAGGCCACCAACCACGACTCAACCAACAACTAAGCCACCAACCACGACCCAGGAAACAACTAGGCCACCAACCACGACCCAGGCTACAACCAGGCCACCAACCACGACTCAGGAAACAACTAGGCCACCAACCACGACCCAGGCAACAACTAAGCCACCAACCACGACTCAACCAACTACTATGCCACCAACCACGACCCAGGCAACAACTAGGCCACCAACCACGACTCAACCAACTAGGCCACCAACCACGCCCCAGGCTACAACTAGGCCACCAACCACGACCCAGGCAACAACTAGGCCACCAACCACGACTCAACCAACAACTAGGCCACCAACCACGCCCCAGGCTACAACTAGGCCACCAACCACGACCCAGGCAACAACTAGGCCACCAACCACGACCCAGGCAACAACTAGGCCACCAACCACGACCCAGACAACAATTAGGCCAACGACCACGACTCAACCAACAACTAGGCCACCAACAACCACCCTAAAAACGACTACCAGAGTACCAACAACTTTACCTCCCAGACCCGTCTGCCGAAATGTTGTATGTCGATCTTGGTTCATATGTATGGCAAATCCAAATGACTGCAACAGCTATTGTGAATGCGAATGGGGAATTCCATATTTAATTAAATGCCCCAGTGGTCTGTACTATAGCTCATATTATGGAGTGTGTACATATCATAGATATTCAGATTGCGGTTTGGCTCGCTAATTGATAGAATATTCACTGTAAATTTTTGCATGAACTGTATTACGATTATTTTAGATAATTGGAAATATTAAAAAAAAAATGATACAGTTACCAAACAAATTATTATTTGGAGCTCTTAATATGATCATTTCATGTAAAACAGCGGAATAATAGATATCAATAAAATAAATTTTTATGAGGAATCGATGATATTTTCTCCATTTTTACTCCATGGTGGATTAATTCACTCCTTGCTCGTGGGAAAATTAGGTGACATTCTTACTATTGGAATAAATCAAATACGTTCACTCAAATCTATTTCCATTCCATGAAAAAAGCATGAACAATCACGGTAAACTGGGAAAATAAAACTACTCTTGTGATTTATTGTTCAAACGCTCTCATGTGCAATTCAATCAGACGCGCATCTAGAATAAATATCGAAGGCAGTGGCCAACTTTTTGCGCCGATAATCATCAATCAGCGGCGGCGGCCGCAGATTAGATCTTCCTTCCATTGTGTCCGCGGGCACACATGAAAAATGAACGCAAAACAAAACGAGTGGCGCGGCGAATGAACAAACCGACTACTTTCTTGTTCATTCGAGAAAAGTTGACATGCGGGTGATGTTACTGCTTATTATCATTTTATTTTGCTCTGCAATTCTCGGAACCTGGCAAGATTTGAATTAAAATTCACAAAAAAGCCGCACCAAAAAAGCAAGTCCACATTCGGCGGGAGTTTATGGCCATATTGTTTGCTGGAAGCGCGTCTAATTGTCACATTTATAACCTAAGTGATACCGAGAATTCGGACTGCTCCTCTCCTTCGCCGACAAGCGTCTCGCCTTTGTTTTTCGTTCATTTAATATGCAGGCGCAAAACCTTGCTCGGTTGCTGCCGGGGGAGAAGCAAAATTAATGCATGCAAATTGAGCCACTCGTCAAAGTGGCTTGTGCACTTTTACGACCGCACGTCCCTCGGCCGCCTAATAGTCTTATAAATGTTTTTATAGAGGCGAAAAGATCTCTTCTGCCAGTCCTGCCTTGAGTGGTCCGTAGTATTTAATTGTGCACAATTCTGGAATTTTCGGTAGGAATTTGAATAATATTTGCAATTTTTTTTAGCGGTGATTAAGAATAAAAAACCAGTTTCTTTTTTTGTATTTGTCACTAACTTGTTCAGTAATTTGTTTACTCAACCATGCACAAATTGTCTAATTTGAATTATCATACACATGCTGATATACTTACAGGACTTATTTTCACAATATGAGGGAAGATTTTAATATTAATCTTTGTATATTTCTACAATATTAAAATAATATTATGAAAGTCTTATCAGAAGTTTTAACAGTTAAGTAAATGTTTATTCAAAATATTAATGGTGATTTGAACGTGAAATTCTACCAAAAAATTAAAATATTAAATTTTAAGGAACACAGTTTTATCAAAAAATACATTTTCACTCATTGCATAATTGTCAACATATTACAAAATTATCATTGGCATATTCCTCTTATACAGATTTTAAAATTTCTGGAAAACTAATGCAGTTTTTATCACCTTTTTAGATTAGCTTAAGGCTTTTGTTATCCATTTTTATATGAAGAAACTTTGAATAATTTTTTTCTGTATAGTAAGTTTTTTATTATAACACTTCTTTATTACGCATTTGGTATTTGTGATAAATACTCAAAAATGTGCAGCAATTCAATAGCTATAGAGCGAGCAATTTATTACTATTTTAAAGTGGCGAAAATTATTTCTGCCATTAAACATCATCATGAAACGTAGTTTATACATAAAAGCTTTTAACGCGGCGCTCGCTGAACCAATAAATAAAAAGTTGATACATAATTATGTGGTCTATTTTTGTATAAAAAGCTTTCTTTTTCACCCGAGCATTCAATTTCTCCTCGCGAAGGTGTGCGATTCGATTTCCTGATTGACCGCCGCGAATTCCGCAGGAAAAAAATGGGTCGTGATTGAACCTGCGAGATGCAAATGAGCAGAGCAGATTCGTCGGTCGCGGCTGCAGCAAACGCGCTCGTGCACAACGCGTGCTGCTGCGAGGTGTAATTTCTTTCTCTCCAATGCAGCCGCGCGCGGTGCGTCGATTATCGCCATTATTGATCGAGCTGATCATCTCGCCTCAGCACCGAGTGGGGCATAATTGTTTTTGCCACTCTCGGGCTTGAATTATGACTCTTTAATGGACGAGTGCGAGATCAACGCTGGATCAGTGACCGTTTGATGTGCGATTTCACTAGGATTCAGTGAAATACTTTGCTGAATAAGACATCACCAATTTTATTCATGCGTGGTCTATTTACTATAAATCGTTATAAAGAATGTATTCAATCTTTTTTTATTGCATATACTATTATTTAAAATTTAAATTTTTATACTATATAAAATGTAATTTAAAATAATTATACTTCAATTAAATATAATTTATTATTTCATTGTTATATATCAATTTTAGTTTTAATGATCTTTTAAAAGTATTTATTTCATATAATAGTCTTTTACACTGACTAATTACAATATTTAAATTACCTTATCATTAAATAAGTTTTCATAGTCATTAACCACTATTAATATGAAGGATTAAACAGTAAATTCTTTTTGTGTAACGGATAATTATTCTAGTTAGATGTTCCTGAATTTATGTATGCTCATTGCTCCTTATATATCTATATTCAGATAAGAAATCATGATAATTAATAAGAATTTAAAGGAATAAAAAATTTCTAATATAATGTTTTTCGTTTTTATGATGTATTACTGGCAAACCAAAACTCTTGCAAATTAAATTTATGTATAGAGTAAAGAAGTTGGCACTTGAGGAGACGTTCGTAAAATTGAAGTAAAACTTTGTCTTCTCGCTTTAAATTTAAATTTTGTTATAAAAATAAATAAATGAAAAAAAAAATAAATGCAGAGATTAAATTACACTACCAGTTTCAGTACTGTTTGTCAATCTTGAGCTATACAAATTTTTGCTTTTACAATAAATTTGTTATAAAAAATTGTTAGTTTTAATCAATTAACATTATTTTTTTAGTTTCGTTTTCAACATCAGGACATGTTTTAACGAGTAGCGAATAGCAAAGCCAGCCAATTTTAGTGATCTGTTTCAATTTTCTTCTGCGGTCCTCACGCAATCTTGTGTATGAACCTCATTGAGCATAAAATTTAGTGTAAAAATAACAAGAATCGGCTTGATTGATTTCTGCGGTGGTGGAAAAAATTCGCCGAATTATAAAATTGATCCAGCCAAAAAGGGGACACGGCGCGCCGGCACCAGAGCTATTGAATTACACAAGAGAAAGAAAAGAAAATCAATCAGCTCGCCGCAACCGCCACTGCCATCCGAGTCTATTTGAATTCGCGACTCGCGGTGCGCCAAAGGTGCTGGCGAATTACTTTAATAATCATAGTGATTACAAACCCAAATACAATATAAAGGTCGGCTCTTGCTATTTGTGTTTCTGCAACGAGGCGCTGACGACGCGCGAAAAAATATTCACCCGAGGGCCTCACTGATTTTATTTCGCGCGGTCTATTCATCACTATTCCACAATGCTGATTGTCATAATTAGCGGCTAATTACGTTTGAAGATGACGCGCATTCGATTTTCACGCAGGTTCGACTTGCGTCGAATTTTTTTGTTCATCTGACGTGGACGCATTAGAGGAAAAGATCCATTTATAAACTCAAGTTAACCTGCACCAGTCAATAATGAGCAACTTACATTTTGGGAATTTAAACGGATCATTCGCAATAAAAGAATTAAAAGTGAATGGTGCAGCAAGATAAGATTATTATTCTCCAACTATTACTCGGTACTTTTAATGACTTATATAAGAACAACACAATCAAATTATATTGCACGAATAATGGCCATAAAATGACAAGAAATAATGGAAGTGTCTTTTTATAGAAGTGTGTCAAATCATTATTTGTGTTTAATTGGATTATCAATTAAATTAAGTCTAATATAAATAAAGAGGGCAAACATTTAATAATAAATAATAATAATAAAAATATAATAAAAAAAATCAAGGAAGAGCAGAAATTTAAGCAAACAAGGGATTATTAAATAAATAGTGGGAGGGGGGGGGAATTTAATTGCTATATGTATATAAGCTTATAATTTATGGGATTATAATCTATTTTTTTTTAACAAATAATGGCATTTGGGTTTAAAAATTAATTAACTAAGTAAGTACATAATTAATTTGGGTTAATGGGTGAAAAAAGAAGAAAAGCTTCTCAATTTTTATTTTTGTATTTTATAATATGCAGGTGAGTTGAACACTCTTGGTGTTGGTGGTGTGGATAATCATTACAAAATTGCCGGTCTGCGGCGCTAGTTGCCTCTCTCAAGCAAAATTCAATCGCAATAAATCACGCACTTATCCGTCGCAAACGACTGCTTCGAAACCGAAAATTGCGCCATCGTCTCGCGGAGGCTGTGCAGATAGCATTGTGTGTAATTGTAAATAAGGCGCGCGTGATTTTATGCACTTACTTATGGCAGCGGAGCAGAGCAGGCGATTGATAGCCGGCCAAAAAGCGTGACTCGTCTCGCTCGCGCTTCGCAAATATAAATATTTAGACCAGCGGCGTAACAATAAAATCGTCCTCGGCGTGCTGAATGCAGATATCGCGCCTGCCCTCGCGACTTGTCGCGCGCGCTCACAATGGTGAATCATCGTTCTTTTGAATATTTGATATGCCAATGTGCGAGGATTGCTTTTTTATAATACGATCGTGAGCTTGCCACACGCTTGGAGTTTGCCACGAAAATTCACTAGAATAATAAAATAAACAAATTTCTGAAACTAAAATATCACTACATAAATGTATCTAATTCATAAAATTTTTTAACATATAAAATTTCTATGGTTGTTACATTTTTAATGTTTATTTTTATTGTTTTAAACAATTTCATCAAATATAAATGAAGAAAAAATGGAATGCCCAAGGGACAAAGAAGAGAATTGCATTTTAGTGCAAGTTAAAGAACTAATTTTCACAATTTTTTCCAAATTATAATATACATTTATTTATAAAAATAAAAATTACTTGACTTTTCCTTCGCTTTATAGCAATGCAAATTATTCAATAATCTTATTTGTAAATAAATATGATTAACTAAAACATTTTATAATTATAAAATCATATTTTTATAATAAGTGCAAAAAATATATTTTTTTAGTAAAATTTATCTTTCAAAATAACAAAACTAAGTTATATTTTTCTAATTATTTATATTATTTTCGTTAACAATCAAAGCAAGCATCAATTGTAAATTATTATGAGAGGCTACCTTTTACTAATTATTAATATATTATTGCTTGCCATAAATTAATTGCCTTTTTCTTAAAAAAACGGGCCAAATATTTTGTGGTCTAATTATTTTAGTTGATTAGGGTAATCAATTTAAGTAGAAGTTATAAGAGGATCCTCCTAGTTTTACATTATGCATTTTTTTTAAACTTAAACGTTAGGCCTAACATTAAATAAAAATTAAAACCAAAATTAGCAATTTCTTTTCCTCAGTAACTCAAAACGACTGAGATAAAATTTATGGGAATGAACAGTAATTAAACCAAACACAAGCAGCATTCAGGCAGGTTCATTTTTATTATTAATCTGGCCGAGATCATAAAATAATGAGCTGTTAATTTAAATGAAAATGAGCTCTGGTTAATAATCTGCTAAATTGATCTCGTCCGTGTTTATTAAGAGCGGGCGAGAGAGATGCCCTTTCCTTCAGGTGTGTGCACCTCCTTTAAATTACAATTAGTGCATGCGATTTATAACTCCTTTAGCGAGGTCGCTTCTGCGTAAGTGGCCTTATCTGGCGAATTTTGATCTTATTATTTATTAAATAAACTGTATCACAGCAGCAGCAGCAGTTAGAAGAAGTCAAATGGCCGGAGGGGCCGAATTAAAATGTGTAATTCAGTTACACCTGATTGAGATTGGAAAAGGCGTTGGCTTCTCGTACCAAGAAAATGTACTCAGGATAAAATTGCGCCAACTGGGCTGCTTTTTATAATTTATGAGTCTAGTAGGAGTGTGAAGGAAAAAAAATGCAAGCGTATCCATTTTTAAATTCACAATGAGTTTTTATTCAAAATATATTCTCAAATGCGACACAGTGTTTTTTCAAGTAGTGGTTTTTTGACAATTTTTCAGTATTTTTTTCCTGCAAAGAGAATACATCGGAAATATTTTTTTTTAGAAATATCTGAATTAGATTCCTACCGATAAAAGGGAGTGCAAAATCATTATCTTAATTACTCTTATTACAACAATTTTTATTTATTTTTTTTATTATTACTCGTCATTACAATGGTCAAGAGTTTTTTTTGTCGTATCTTCGCATTAAGTAGTGGCTTTGTGTGTGTCAAGTTTTTCTTTTTTCCTTATAAAAATTATAACCACGTCAAAATCAAGTCACATGTATCTCATCATATCCACACAATTGAGCAAAAATTTGAGATTTTTCACAGAATAAAAACACATATACGTACGTACGTGTAATTGAATAAAAAAAAGAACGCAACAATTCACGTGAGCTCTTGTCATGCTCCGCGCGAATAAATTGGCCGTGTATTAAAAATAATAATACTCGTTTGATTTCGAATCAAAAAACAAATTTTCTACAAATGATATTTCAACGCAGGGCAAATTGACAAAACAAACTCGGTTATTACAATTAATTAGGGGGTGTGTATATAAATTATAAGTTACTCTCACTTACTTAAAAGTAGATCCTTTTTTACATTCTACAGCGAAGTATGAATTTATAACCACAAACAGCAATATATGCTTCAAAAACATGAAAAATGGCTTGTGTTCCAAAGCAGAGAACATGTCTTCTAAAGAGTGTGTCTTACTTATTTACATTCAGGCAAATCAAAATCGCGGAAGATGGGCACTCTTTTTTTGATCCATTCAAAAATTGATTCTTTTGCTTGTTTTCCTTGTTTAAGCTCTTTTTTGTTCAAACAGTGTTGTATAGTTTAGTTAGTTGTTCAACAATATGACACATATCACTTCTGGGCTTAATCAAAGACATGAAAATCACAATATTGTCAACTCCAAAAACAGTTTTAAAGCATTCGCTCGCGAGTGTTGAAGCAGAAAGATTTTTTATACACTTCCATAATTTCTTAAAATTTAATTTCCACATAAATATCCTGCCAAAATAAGGATGCACAAATGGCGAGATTATTAAAATTTTCAGTAGCTTTCAGATACATCATCCATTGAGAGAGCAATTATTTTTTTTATGATTAGATCCAAAAGGTTTTCCTATAAACTGTGGATGATATAGGCCTTTGTGATTTCAATTCAATTTTGTGTCGGAGGGGATTCTTAATTAAAAGAGAGACTGTGTGTGTTTTTGTTAAAAATTCGCATTTTGATTGTAGTTAACGCCACGTAATTATTACGGACACTTGGTTTCTTTTTATCATTTTTTAAAATTAATTTTAAACTTACAACGTACATTGAGCATTTTCGAATATAATTTATATATTTATTAAAGGCTGACATGCGAAAGTGTAAGTGTGTGTGTGAGTGTACGCGTATTTTCCACGTCTCAACATCAAAATTCAAAGTGAGCCAAATGAGCACTTGATTATAGTTGAGAATAAAAAACAGCTACATCCCCACATTAATAAATATCCTTTTTAAGTATTCCAATGCTAAATTGATTAATCGTAATTCCAACAAGTCACACTAACCAACTACAGTCCAGCTGATCTCGAAAGTTAATGAATTTTGCAAAGTCTATAGTGCGTGAGTGTTATACATAGTGAGCGAGAGAAAAAGAGCGGTGGTCGTTTTTCCTACACTTTTTGTAATATAAAAATACCCTTTAGTCAAAATCGAAGCTTCCTTCGTTAAAAAGTGAGATGAAAAGCGTTGTATATGTTCTTGGAAAAGCTTAAAATTTGATTTACTCTTAGGAAGGCATTGTGTTCATAAGGTAAAAGAGAGCGTTTTTTCCTTCATATTATACCATTTTAACATTATTATAATTTTACTAGATTATTAGTAAGTTATGTAGAGTGATATGAATTTTAAAGCATTTAAATTTCGCGTCAAATTTGAAAGAGGGAGAGAGATAGAGAAAGAGATATATAAACACTCGCTATTATTAATTAACTATCAGATGAAAATGTGGCAACGATTAACATCATCTTTAAAATTTCAACTCTCGTGAATTGCAAAAATTTAGAGGGAGTTTTACGAGTGCAGTTGCATATATTGTTCTCAATTAATAATGCCCTGTACAAGTGATAAATCAGCCGGCGATGACACACGCAAAGAAGGAAAACGGCGCGCGATTAATTACATACCCAAGAGAGAAAAAGATGGAATAAAAAGAAAAACAACAAATAATATTTATATACGACGTACCTGTACATGAAGCAATAATTTAATGGACTTATTAATTTATCATTCTACAAATAAATTACATGTGGATGTGATTTTCGCGTTCGTGTGTGGTGTGTTTATGTGTGAATGTGATCAAGACTAGAATCCAGTGAAAGTCGGGTTTTCCATTACACCTCATATTATATTTGCTACTACTTTTCGAAATGCATGAAAAAAAATTGTATGGCTTTTCTGAGAGCAACTTTTCACGAGATTCGCTAACTGAAGAAAAAATTGTCGTTTCTTACTGGCACTTTCCAAATTGAGGGATATAGATAAAAAAAAAAGCTTAAAAATCTTTTCCGTTTTCTTTTCAACTGGCCACAACAATATTTGGCACCTGTGTTTGCAATTTTTGTTCGCTGTTAAAAAATTGTTCAGCTTATAATTTTTAGTAAAAAAAAAAAGAATCGGCGAGTTCACCGAGCGCGACCACTTCGCGAGATAAAAAAACCCGAACTGCTCTACGCATGGGAACCGAGCTGAATTTCACATCAGCCGCCGCTTTTTATATGTCGGCTCAGACAGCACGTCGTCCTGCATAATACTGGGTCACCGAGTCCGTGACGCAACAACTTTTGGGGTAGAGTAGTTGGCAAAGTGATCGCACGCAGGTGGACCAAAGCATTCTTTGATTAATTTGATTTAAGAATTTAAACGTCTGTTTTTAAGAAACACAAAAAAAAAAAAATTACGAGAATATCAATCAGTTTCCTTTTTGTTCTCAATTCAGGAATGGTCAATCGAGATTTTTTTTCTTTACATCAAACAATAATTTAAAAAAAAATTAATTAATAAATGAAACCACTGCACTTCATATTTGTCCGAATTCAGAACCCTGGAAGTTCCGAACAAATCGAGTCTCTCAGTCGTTGTCCATGGGCTCGGGTGGCGAGGCGGGCGACGGCGAGTGCACAGAGAGCGAACTGAGCGCCAGCGAGGGCGACAGAGGCGCCGGCGAGCCGCCGCTGACGCTGCTGTTGGTGCCATCGGGCAGCACCGAGGGTGGCGGTCCGCCACCGGTCTCGTACCTGGCGTGCGTACGCATGTGTCTGGTGATCATGTCTCGTCGGCAGGCGGCGTACGGACACTGCGGGCACCGGTACGGCTTTTCGCCTGTGTGGGTGCGCTGATGCGTGGACAAGTGATCCGAGCGCGAGAAGACCTGGCCGCAGACGCGACACGTGTACGGTTTGATGCCTGTGTGGAGTCGCATGTGTCTCGTCAGCATGTCACTGCGGGCGAATGACCTTTGGCAAACCTCGCACAGGTACGCCTTGGTCGTCTGCTCAGACTGCTGCTTGCTCTTGTGTCTGGACGCCATGTGCTTGGCCAGGCGGTCGTGCAGACTGAACATCTGCCCGCAGATGGGACAAACGTAGGCGACGTCCGAGCCGGGCGGCATCTCCTCCACCACGGGAGACACTTCAAGGTTGTACCTGACGGCCACCGACTCCTTGGTGGTGGGGGAGGCGACGTCTCCCCTGACAACCGGCACCGGCACCAGACTTCGAGGCAGGTAGGTGGCGGTTGGAGTTGGGGTGGCTGGCGGCGGAGTCGGCGTCGTCGGAGCCAAAGGTGAGGGGGAGCCGGCCGTCGACGCCGACTGCGGCGGCGTGGGAGGCGTTGGCGGCGCCTGTTGCCCTCGCAGGCGCGACAGGAACACCGATTCTGAGGAGGAGGTGCTGATGGAACGAGAGGAGCCGCGCACTGACAAGTCCAAGGGCGAGTCTTGCGATGACTCGGACTCGAGGGAGCCACCTTTGAGGGGCGGTTTGGCCGTCCGGTGGTGTCGGTGCTGCTTTCGAGCACCACTGCTGCTGGTGGAAAGGGTGGTTGTCCCCGCAGTGTGCTCGGCGCCCAAGGAAATGGCCAAAGAGGCGCCCTCGAACCACAGGGGGATGTCCGAGTCGGAATGGCTGCGTCTCTTCGAGTACTCCGAGGAGAGCAGGTACTTGGAATGGAGGTACTCAAGGTTGTAGATGGGCGACGGCGTGATGGGCAGGTTGCCACCGGGGGTGCACGGCGCCAAGGGAGACACCGGTGAGGCCGGGATGCCGCTCAGGCCGAGCGGGAAGAACCGGTCCATGGGACTGATCTCCAGGGGCGTGCAGTGCGCGCACGCGCAGCCAGGGTAGCGATGGAGGTGGTGCTTGGAGTCGACCGGCTCTTCCTTGACAGCCAAGGATGGAGTCTTGGTCGACGACGCCGGGCTGAAGACGTCCTCCAAGGGCTCCTCCTCGTCAATGCGGCCGCACTGGCCTTGAGAGTAGCGCTCCCGGTCGACGCTATCAAAGCGGAAGATCTCGTTTTTGCGCGGCGGACTCCTGATCTTGGAGGCTGGCGTCTCGTGCTTCTTGTCGGCGCTGGACGGCGCCATCATAATTAGCTTCTCTTTCTTGATCAGTTCCTGGTACATGTGACTCCTCACCAGGTCCTCGTCATGGTTCAGCAGGTTCAGCTTCTTGTAGTTGTTGGGTCTGTAGTTGTTGTTGTTGTTGGTCGGGCTGTGCGGCGGCGACGGTTTGCCCACCTTGCTCAGCTTATCAACGACCTGGTTCAGGCATTTCCGCTTCAGCTTGTGCTTGCCGCTTTTGAAGTTGACCGGGTTGTTGTTGGTTGCGTTCGGGCTGTTGTTGTTCAGGTGTAACGCTGACGTCACTGCAGTCTCCGCCATATTAGCAGCACCAATCGTGAACGTCCTCAGCCGCGGTCGCCGCAGATCCAAGGACTATGAGAGCCAAAGAAATGGAATAAAACGGAAAATTAAGAAACTCGATCCTAGCCGGCCCACTTCTCATGTCTTGGTTAATTTCGACTGATTGTCTCTGTCGTTGCAGTCCAGGTGGATAATCAGCAGCAGTTGAAGAAGAAGTGCAGTAAGTGATGATTGCAGAGAAAGAGATGCGCTTAGACGCTCCCACCAGAGGCCACAGGGTCACAACCTCCGCAAATGGCCGCTTCAATCTGCAACAAAAACAAATGGCATCATTAGCACCGGCAGTTTAATTAGAGGTCACGTGCATGCACAGCAATGGTATAATTAAAAAAAAAAATTAATGCATAAAAAAACGGAATTTTATAATGTGTGACCTGATTCGTCCGAGCCCCTCCCACCCTACAGACCGTCAAACGTGAGGATAACGTTTCCTCCATTTTCAGCGGCTATTCGGCCAGAAAAATTGCTTTTTGTTGTGTTTAATAACATTTTACGACGCGAACTGGTTTGCTTTGCCTGCTTTTATTTTCCAAAGGTTCGTCTCTCTGTCCGTATTATTACCGCCGAGACTCGGCACGTATAATAATAAAACATCGATGATGAAACAACAGGTGTAATTAAGTGGCTACTGTCCGAACGAGAAAGCTGCTGGCTGAGCAAATAAAGCGGAGAGAGAAAGAGAGAGACCATGCAGTGGCTGCAATCATGAAAACTATTCTCGGAACCCCTGTCCGCGCTTGGTGAGCTCTTCGCACGCCCGATTTTATTACTGGGCCGCGACGTGCCCGCGCTCGCCGCCATATTTCAGATGAAATTTAATATAATTTAATCGGATTGATCGCGGCTGCACTCAAGTAAGGCGGACGAGCGTGGGTGATTTCAACGCCTGCAATTGACTGCTGCCCTCGTGTGTGTACGTCCGTGTGTTAGCAGAGAGTGGAGAAATTATGCGCGACGTAGTATAATGGAGGCAGTAACCCTGAGGGAAATAAACACACGCGTTTATTTTAAATGCGCGCATTTGTATCTCGCGAGCCACGCAATTATCAGCAAATAGACCATAATGCATCAGGAAAGGTCACCCTTGCCGCGAATGACAGTTATAAAGGAGGCGCGAATTGACACCATTAGAAGGAAAATAGCAACATAAGGGAATTAACTTGTGAAAAAATATACAGCCTCTTAAAAGCGAATAAAGGAAAATTGTTTACTAAAAGGTTGCATTTATCCCTGCTTGAAAATTAAACTATGGTTGACATGTGATTGACTTGAAAATATAATTTATTTTTGGATTTATTAAAAAATTTGTACAACCAGTGTTGTTTTCAACTATCAGTTTCAATTTCTATATGCACAAAAAAAGTAACTTTATTAAACTTCATATTTTGTATGTATTGCATCTAATGTAAATATTGAGTACATAGAAGCATGTTTGATTCAGATATTCTTTGTTGAAGTTAAAAATATAAGAATAAAAAATGTTCATCACGTTTAAGTCATTCCGAAGTAAAAAATAAAGGAAAGATTTTTCATGTTTTGAAAAGGCTAATATTGACCAAACGGTTCTGAGGAGACTTGATTTTTTTCTCTGAAGAGTTGTTTGTGCGTTCCGAGGCGGGGCGGATTTTTGTGATTTATCGACGACCGGTTAATTTACATTACTAATTATTGTTGCATATATAAATGTGTGAATATTGTATATATGTGGTCGCTGCCGGGTTCAATACTTCCCTCTGCTCATAAGATCTGTCGAGAGAGCGTAAATGTTATACTTTTATAGCGATTTTTTTATCCATCCCGCCTGACGACTCCATTAAGCTGAGTCCTTTTCACTCGGCAAGCATTTACCCGATTCACCTCATAAATTTTTTAATTAATTAAGCCAACGCCAAGTCGACTATGACATCGAGGGGGAATTCTCTCTCGTTTTTTCACATTTAAAAAGCGGCCGTGGCAGCGTCCAGTGCCACATAATCATCATAATATGCATCATTAATGAAGAACAACGGCGGTGACGCTAATGACTTGAAACGTTATTTTCTAAATACAGGAGTGGCGAAAATAAACACATATATACGCAGTAAAAATATAGCGCACCCACCTAAACCACTCGGGCAGTGACCACCGCCGCGAGAGTTGTGCAATTAAAAAAATAATGTGTTGTCTTGCGAGAATGGCACAAGTGCCAATTTAATTTGCTGATGCCGGACCAGTTACTGGGCAAGAAAAGAAGATCGAAGGAGCAGAAAAATTCCCGTCCGGACCATCAATCATCTTCGATATAATCGGCCATTATGTCATTGTGCAAGCGGAATATCAATCAACTGCATTCCGATCGTGTGGGACTTGATACATTTTCCCAGCGTTTAGATAAAGGAATAAAATTATCGTTGGTCATTCAGTGAAGCTGGTCATTGGAAATTTATCATTTATAATTGTGGGAAAAGAAAATGACACAAAAATAAAGCCTACAGAATCAACAATAAAAAAAAGAATATATTTTAAATGATTGATGGCTTTAGATATATAATCAACTGTATTTCAAAATTTAAAAAAATAAAAGTTCATTTATAGACGAAATGAATAAAATCTGTTTAAATATTAAAAAGCTGAAATTTTCCATCCATTGCCGCATAAAAGTTTGCATTTCAGATTAAAAAAAAAAAGTGAAATTGAAATTTAGTTCGGAGATTTAGTTAATCCGGACGAGAAGGGCCCGACCAACACAAATTTTCGAAAGGATTCAGAGCGATTTTCGCCGACGAAAGCTGCGCTGCATGACAAGTTGTGTGGCGCCGCGCGAGAGAGAAAAGAGAAAATGAGGCAGATGACAAAACGCACGCTCGATTCGGTGAAAAATGTGGCTAATTACCGCGGCGACAACAATGGAAGAAATCTGGCGGCTGAAAAGAAAACAGCCGCGAGCGATGCACTTTTTGTGCCTGTGAAGTGACCACAGGTGATTCGGCGGCGGCGGCGCTGCTGATAATAAAGCTATAACCCTATACGCGCCGAATAATAATAATAACGCCGCGTATAAAGGAGCGAATAATAAACTTTGATTTAGGATGCCGTAATCTTTAACTAGAAATAAATTCCGTGCTCCTTTTTTATGTGCACGCCGGGCGCGGACCAATAAAAGGGAAGCAATAAAATATCATCACACAGCAGCGACGTCATCTTCATCGTGCAGGACCGCTCGCTCTCTCGCGCTCATTCACCGCCACGCGCGGCACTTTTCTTTTGCTCAGAAAAAGCTCCGAAAATTTATTCACACCGCTTCGTTTTAGGCCCATTTACGGCGGCCATCAGAGCTGCCAATTTGTATTCAGCCACAAAGGAGCACCAGCCTCCTAATGGACTGGCTTTTGCCGGAGACGCGGAGGAGCGCTTAGATAAATAATAAAAAGTTTTTTCTCACACTCTCGGCGCTGCAAACCTGATTTGTGGAATTTCGGACAAGCTTTCAAGCGGATGCGTGGGTGACGATCAAATGCAACAATATATTTATGTTATTAATATTTATAAAGTTAAAAGGTTTGGAAACCTCATTGTTGAAAAAATATTTGATTGTTTATCAATTATAAAATCAAACAATCAAAGAAGAATAACTTAATAATATGTGCAAAAATCAATAAGCAAATTTCAAACCCTAATTTCCTTTTAATTGTTATTTTTAAACCATCGACACGTTACACAGGAATTTCGCGTACTTAAAAAGTAAACAAATTTAAACAATTTACAATTATAAATTTAAAAAAAATATATGTTGAATAAATATTTCTAAACATTTAATCACCAATTTAAGTATTATAATCAATTGAAAAAAAAAACAATTAAAACCGATTATTTCATTTTAATTTTAATAAATGACAAAATATGTAAATATTGTTTACTGTGAACAAAACTTTTTTTGCAGTATGTTTAAAATAACTTTATAATTGATTAGCTTAAGATACAGGCAGAGGCTAATCAATTATGGGCAGTGGTGTATAGTTAGGTTTTACTTGTTCAGTGTTCGCGTCTTGGTCAATGAAGTTGCAGCGCGCGGATAATAATTATCCCGCTCGTTTGCGCCACTTGGAAATTGTTAACCAAGAGTGCTGATGGCCTGCAAGTCGCGAGTGTCGAGGTACAATACTAATTAATTACCGAGTTAATGTATGCCATCAGTTTAAAGCAAGCCGTGACCGGCCGTTCTCGGGACGCGACACGACGGACCTGCTCTTCAGCAGATAAACACACACCGCCTTGCATTGTTTTCCTGCCGCTAATCCACCGCTCGCTAAACACTTGGGGTTGCCGAGCGACGATCTGCCAAGCAGACAAATTGGTGCTAAATCAACGTCGCAGGAAATTGCTCAATTTTTATTTTCTTCAAATTGTCTGCTGAAATTCAACAATTCAACATAATTTAAAGCTCAATAATATTTTTTTTTTATTCTTTGTGTATTCCCTTTTGCATATTTAGAGAGAAAATATGCAATTAGTATTCCCCATTTCATTTTGTTTGCTATTATTGTTTATCTATCAAGAACTCTCAAATATTACTGGCACGAATCCTGTATTACAATAAAAAAAATAATAAAAAAATCATCTTAAGAAATCCTTGAATTTTAAAATTCAACTAAAAATCAGAAATCAACATAATTAATTTAAATTTCATTAAAAGGGACTTCCTTCTCATTATTTGTTTTCAAAAACATCCCGTGAGAAAATTATTCAGAATATCTCAATTGCGAGGGCAACACTCGATTTGGGCCGGAATTGAGTTTCCAATCTACAGTAGGCAGATGTATCATAAATAAATATGCGTCGAGGAAAATCCACTCTCTTGCGGTTGCAGCAGTGCGGTGGCTGCTGCTGATGAGAAAGAGCTGCCCGGGCGTGGGATGAAATAAGAAAACCCCACAGTGGCCGTCCAAATTCAATATTTATCAAATTCGGCGGTTGTGCCGAGAAAACACAAAACGCCCCCTTTGCGTATTATTATATGATACTCTCATCTCTCTAGGTGTATCATTTTGGTGTGAAAATTACGCAGCACCAGAAATTCATAATCACATTTCCAGCAATCTTCCTTTTGTTTTACTACTACCGACGCCGCATTCTTGCGGTCGCCACAATTCCCCCCACCGATATTGTATATTGCTGTACCAGTGATTGTAATTTGTTTTCTATAATGTAACCATCGAATGATGATGCGCGGCTCTAAAATAAAACTTATTTTATCGGTGTAATAACGGCA